AAGAAAAAAATCTTGAACAATATGCTGATAAAATTCGAACAAATAAAGCTGAATTAGCTAAACTTGATAATCCAATACGTTTTGTTATAAAACAAATTGACAATGATACACCATTAACAACAATTCCACGGGAATATAATGATTGTTTTTTAACAGTTATTACTCGAACAGATCCATTACATAAATCAGATTTAATAAGTGAACTTGTTCGAGATAAACTTTTACAAGATGTTAAATCAAATGCATTAGATATAAGGTTAGATTATTTTCTATAAATATTATAGATTATTTATATTAGTTTTTATTTTGTTTTATTTCAGTTATTTTCCTGGTGGTATTAATTATGATTTACCACATGAAGAAATTGATGAAAATGGTCAAATGAAAATTGAAACATATCAAAAATTAAAAAAACGTTTAAGTCATCGGAAAATTTGGTATTTTAGGGAACCACCAGAAAAAAAACCTAATGCTCTATTAGAAATTCTTCCATTTGATTTATCAATTAATATAAATCATCAACATTTACTTGATTATATTTATGATCATTTAAAAAATCTTTCAATTGATGAAATTTTTGTTAAAAACGATCAAATTTTATCAATTGAATTTATGCCATTAAGTTGTATATTAAATTCAAATGATATTCAAAATCAATTTATTATTGATTGTCATTCAATCGAAATAAAACATAAATTAATCGAAAAACCAATGAAAATTTCTTTTAATAAACAATCATTTACAATTGAATTACGTTCTTATGATGATTATATGCATAATGAATATGATAAATCAATTAAAGCAGAAAAATATAGAGAATTAATCAAAAATCATGATCAAGCTATTAAACGAACATCAACCAAATAATACATCACAGACATTAGTCTTTTTTTTTTTTCAAGGAAAAAAAAAACTTTTATAATTTTTTACTTGCTCAATCATAATTACTCAAGAATTTGTTATATTTCATACTAAATAAAGATTAGAAAAGAAAATAATAAAAATATTTTCTTGAAAATATGTATGTATAGTGTAACATTTTACAATAAACCTAAACATTTTTGCATTTTTAACAATACGCCTCGAACATGTATTTGATGATTACCTCGATAAGTAACGGAGATAGTTAACATC